TTTTAAAAGTTCATCTAAGCTCATTGATGTGTTTTCCATAGCACTTAAGTTTTAACTGTAAGAAAAATTGACAATTCTCTTCATGGGAAAACAATGTAATATAATACGTCATTGACAGATGACAACCTTGGGTTTCTATTGGTTATAAATAATATAATATTAAATGTCAGATAGAACTACTGTCAATTTCTGAAAGAGAGGATGTGACAGGTTGGCATGACAAGAGGGGTTTGATTGTCTATTTCATGGCTCTGTAACCAAATGAGATTGAAAGCTATGAAAATTATGCTTTGCCTGAGTGATGACAATATTATACTGAGTAATTTACATTAAATTTCATACTTTTTGGAGAAATGGTAAATAAATTAGAGGAGAGGGGATGCCTAGAGAGTGAATGTCACAATTCTCACACTTGAGAAAATTCTATTTCTTTTTTTATATTGCGTTATAAAAGTAAGAACTTAAAACTTATATACTATTAAAACATCAATTAATAGCTACATTTTTATGCTATATTTATTGGTATACCATGAGAAGAAAGTAGTTTAATTAAATTTTGAATGTATCTCACTAAAAACCTCATGACGTCTACAGAAAAAGATGTCCAGGGATAAAACAAATAACCATTTCTAGATATACTAGTATATCACCATGATTATTACTTTTTGATTAGTTTATATGAAACCCACCCATATTACAACAAACAGCAGGTGAACAAACATCACCTTATCTTTTCAATTCATGTAGGTCCTATGCTACTAAATCAGAGGAATTTTCCAGAAATCCAAAGTCACTGTAATATTAAAATTTGTCAGGATACTAAACAATCTCCTCTCCACATATATATAAACACGGTGAGCATAAAAGACATAAGCACTTACTCTACGGTGTGACCTGCTACTTCAGCAAAACATATGCCTTCTACATCTAGAGAAAACCAGCCATAATAAAGAATGCTTATAACACAGGACACCAAACACAATTAGTAAATATGACATACTAGACCACAAAAAAAACAAAAAAACAAACTGAAAACTAAAGAATTAACGAAGTACTCAATAAAAAGTTATATATATATAAACACACACACAAATTAACACAGACCACGTACTACAAACCAGCAACAACTAATCATATTTTATAAAATAGAAAAATTTGATTAAGAAACAAACTAATCTTAGGCTCAATCAGAACTCAACAAAATCTTTCAACTCTTTCTCAACACTACTGATACACAAAACCATTCCTATTAAACTCCTAACACCTGGTGAAGAACTCATCATATAGTTCAGAAAATCATCTTTAAAATAAGACATAAGGTAGAAGAAGTCCTAATAAACTATTCCACATATCGATTTACTGCCTTACACTTTCTTTAGAAGAAGAATTAAAACTGTTTATGTATGCAAGTTAAATATTTATAAGAAGACATATGTTGTAAAACCTTAAACACATATGTTAACTTCTTCCAGTCTAGAAACATTAAGATTAATTAATGTCAGTCCTTCTCTTTATTAAACAAAATGTTATGATCTGAAATATAGTAAAATATAAGAAAATGTTATCACTATTTTGTAATGGCCAATGCCTAATGTAAATTTTATATGGGTGGGATTTTGTAATGATATCCTTATTATAAATTAGTCAATGTGTATAAATTAAGGATCAATGTGATTGGTAAGTTGTTTAATTTGTATATGATGTTAAAGGTTATCTGTTATTTAAATTGTTACTATCTATATAATTTTTATATAGTTTGTATATGCATGTAAAGTGAAGAGTTTATTGTTTCTTTATTATATATGACAAACATTCTCATTTAATAAAGATTTTAGAAGTTAAAATTTGGAAGTTATAATAGCAAGATACTTTTTTTTGAATACCTTCCAGCATTATGCAACCTAGTTATAAGTTTCAAACAAATACCATTCACAGTAGATGTACAAGGAAGTTTAGAACATTAGATTTTATGTGAAAAAAAAATACTGCGAAATTATTTTAATACCAACCTCTGATAAGTTACTATATTCAACAATGATTAATGCTTATTTAAGATGGCAGACCTTCGGATTTTTTGGGGTATATGGTTCCATATACAAAAACACAACTCTTCCCAGTTTAGTTTAAGCTATAGTACATTGACTCTTCTGAAAAGGTTGATCAAAATACATTACCACATCTTAATTTCCACAGGAGTTCATTCAGTTATTTTGTACCATTTCTAACACACTGATTCCCATCCTATAAAGATATATTTATATTTCAGAGTAACCCAACCATGTTCTTCATACCTAGAACACTTTACATGGTTTTATATGCATATAAACACATTCATGAAGTTTATGAATACCTTACCTTACATCTTTATCCCACAACAACATACGCATGTGGTTGACAATACATTGCATGCCTAATTTTACTAAAATTCCTTGACCATTGTTGTCATCAATTGGATGACGTGTAAAACCCCTCTCCATGTCATAGTTCTGAACATCTCCATCCAGTAATGAGGAACGCAGTTCTCCATGCAAAACTTGTGCACCATGTTTAGGAGAAGCAACATTCTCATCAGGCACTGAAAAAGTAAAATAATAACAAAATCTTGCCTAATTTTCATTTTATGCAAATCTTGTGCACCATGTTTAGGAGAAGGAACATTCTCGTCAGGCACTGAAAAATAAAATAAAAAACAAAATCTTGCCTAATTTTAATTTTATGCAAATTGCACACACTATATTCTATATATATATATATATATGTATCCTTTGTTTCTTTCTAGATTCAGTTATTACAAATATGCATATATATTCTAATTCAAACGTTTGTAAAATGGCTGATATTACATGTCCAAGCATATCTACTACCATTTTCAGAAAAACATTGAATTCTGTTTTCCAGTTTAAAGATCTAATATGATATAATTAATATATGTTAAAAACCAAATTAATTTTTTTAGATGAATATTTTCAACCTACTTTAGCCCATTAATTTTATTAATACTTAATTCTAGTGTTTTAGACACTACACTTTATATTAAATAGAAAAAGTGTTATCAGTCATTGTAACTCTTCATATTTTGCTCCAGATAGAATGAGTTGTATGATTTATCAATCACATTTTATGGTTGGGCTTTGCATTCTTAAGCATCACTTACATTTCAGATATGGTACTACAAATAAGTCTTGCAATGTTTGTCATAAAGGTTGCATCTTTCAATCTGTCATAGAGAAACACTACCACTGACTTAACATTTTATAAGATGAACACATGAAACGTTTTAAAATTTAATTTTTTTTTCTTTTTCTATTCCTATTTATTAGAAAAAAGTTGAACTCGGTGCTAATCTTTACTGATTTAAAATTTTCTTGATATTTTATACAATATTATGTTTATGATATCACAGATATACATACTTAGGTATCCACGATATTTCAAGTCCATATCTCTGCTTTCAGTTTTTGCTTTAATAGCATCCAGAATAGTATCTGGATGAACTAAACCTGTAGGCCTGACAACATTTAAAAGGTCTGGTAAAGTCATAAGAGGTAAACGAATAGCAGCTAAAATTTCTCTGGCCTCAACGCTAGAGTTATGCTGAGTCCATTCACAAACAGCCTTGAATATATCCACCTCTGGGGCACAAAAAGAGTCTCTGCTAATCATCTCTTTCAAGGCAGCCTGTGGATTTATATAACTTTCTTTAAGTATGTATTAAGGATCCCTCAAAAATACAAAGTGTAAAAATGCACAAAAACTATTTAATTAAAACAAACAAATATACTGTCAGAAAAATGCATTGTACAAAAATGAATTAACTTATAGTTCAAATATTAAATCACTTTAATTATATTATTCTTCAGCTTTGCACTTTAGATAGGTGAAAAAAGCTTATAAATATATAAATGTATTGACTTTTTAAAGGTATCACAAAAATGAGAAACAAGGATTTTTTATTAACTACTATGAACTAACTATTCCTGGTTTTTACTTTTTTCAAAGAATCGAAAGAAATATCGTGTTTCTTAACAAAAATTAAAATCCAAATAATAAATTAGTGACTATGAGTTGAAACATTAAAAAATTTTGTTAAACATGTAGAAGTTCACAGTCAGACCCCAAGTTTATGTATTGGAACAAAAGGATACTTACAGATGTTTGTAATCTTGTTTTTTTTAATACTTTAATACAGTTAATTTCACCAAAGATATCTACATATTGTTTGTTTATGGTATAGCTCCTAAGGCTATCTTCTGACATCCTTAATTTTGAACTGCTGAAAACAGGAAGGGAAACCAGATGGCAGCACCCACCCCATTACTTGGGATTGCTTGTTTGTTTTAAAGTTAAGCACAAAGCTATACAATGGGCTATCTGTGCTCTGCCCACCACAGGTATCAACACCCAGTTTCTAGCGATGTAAGTCAGCAGACATATCGTTGTGTCAGTGGGAAGAATTTTTGTTTGTTTGTAGTTAAGCACAAAGCTACACAATGGGCTATATGTGCTCTGCCCACCACGGGTATCAAAACCTGTTTTCTAGTGTTGTAAGTCCATAGACATACTGCTGTACCACTGGAGGGATTACTTGGGATAATTTTTACTAATGAAAAATGCAATTATAATGCCCCCATAGCAAAAAGGGGAAGCATGTTTTAGAGCTGGGTTTTGATACCACGAACTACAGATTGCAACTTGAGCATCCTAATCAGCAGGCCATATCTAAAGTTCAATACATTATCAAAGGCAGATTGAAAATGAAAGTTGTTAATGTTAAGGATATGTTGAAAGTTCCTCCAACTGAAAAGATTTGCTATTGAACCAGCAAAAATTACTACATTTTCTCTATCAAATAGGCTAATTTATACATGTAAGGGCTATCTTGTAGCAATGGAGCTTACAAAGAGAGAATTTTTACACTGAAAAGACCTTATTTCTTCAATTGGCATGCAAGTACAAAACAATACAAAAGACCTAATAAGTGAATAAAAAATTACACTAAAATGAATTATTAATATACGTTTGTTTCTTTATTGTCAGGCTTACAGATGGGTTGTTAACTCGATTACCTATAACCATTGATTACACTGATTAGTGTCAAGCAATAAAAGTAATTAAGCAAAATTACAATAAAATCAATTAACTTCACAAAATAATCAACTCATTGTCTCAGTTTTTCTAATTATTCCACCCATCAAAGTAATCAAAAATTGCCATAATGATTTCTTATTATTACTTTCAATTAATTATACATTATTCAGCTTAATTAATCAGTGTCACAACTCCCAAAAATAATCAACTAAACAAAATCAGTGATTCCAATTATCAATAGTTTTGGCTATTCTAACTTTCCAAATCTCATCTGAGAATAATTTATTATTTGAATGTAACTGATCAATGAGCCCAATCATTAGTCAATTGGTAAAATCCACTAATCGTCCAACCCTAAGCAGGATAGAAATAAACTGCTAAAAGAGTATCTCAACTCTTTTATGCTACTATGTAACTACATATTTCAATGACAATTTAATAGCTACTTTCAAACATACTGACCCTGTTCTCTAGGTTTTATTATATCATATCAGCACAAGTGGCTTTGAAGTAACAGTAGATCATAAGAATACTTTCAGTTTCATCCACAAAATTTTCACAGTTATTTACTATTACTGTGTAAGAAAAATTTTCTTTGGTCTATTTCACTATAAACTTTAAAATATCGATACACTTTCAGTTTTCTTAAAAGTCTGACTATGTTTCAAACCTTTATATGTGTAAAACACATTAATCAATCATTATACATGCAGAAAACTTACAGGTACCACTGAAAATATTTAATTTTGCATAACGCAACAAGAGCAAGATAAAAAGTCTTCACAGCTAAATAGTTAAAAACATAAAAATCAATTGGCATCTAACAAATGTCCTGTTAAATGCTTCATATAAATAGGACTTTCACTTGTGTGGTCCCTAGAGGTACTATAATTTCTATTCTCTTTTAACTTACAAAATTAAATTGTATAATTTTCCAAATATTGTCAGATATATATGCACTTCTAGACCAGAATGTTACAAGATTTTCATATTGAGGAAATATACCTTGTGCAATACTGACTTCATTTCAAGTACTAACAATACATGGTTCAAGTGAGTGTCCAGCACAAGTATATTTTTCACCTTTCACATGAACAAAGTATGTGGAGATTATTTTCCGTTAACCAGAAGCACTACAATGTTTAACTTTATGAATGCCTAAAGGTTGAACTACCCCTACTTTCAGCCGTGACAATCAATGGCATGGAAAGCACCTGCCCTTTGAGAGAAATGCAATTATTGTTTCTGTGAATGAAATGTCATACTGTCTAGGACAGAATTTTTCTCTAGAGGATATTTTCAGACCATCTACAGGTGCCATCCAAAATATGTTGGGTATATATGCACTTCTAGAACAGAATGTTGGAAGACTTTCACATTTGGGAAACTCATCTTGTGCAGTACTGACTTATTTTGAGTACTATCTATACACGGTTTGGGTTTTAAAAATAAAAATATATAATACTTGTCAGTCAACCCCCCTTCAGTTTTTTTTATTGTTTTGAAACTAGCCATTTGACAATTACTCATACAATTTGAAATGCACATTACTGGTGTCCAGTCAGTGCTATATGTACTAGTTATACTCACAATCTTGTCTCAACTGAAATGCAGATTTTAAAGTTATGCCAAATGCCATCAGGTAAAAAGCTGATAAATCACAGTAAGGCTGTTGTAAATCAGCTACAAGGGTTCAACTGTCATATGCAGAATATGGAATCACTTTCAAACTAATGTTACACTTGTTCAGACAATTTGACAAGGTAAACGAGCATCCACAACAAAATCAGGTATTTGTATTTACAACTGGATGCTCAAAACAGTTTGCTTAATGTCACAAAGAATATCTTGATGATTAAAGACACATAAAATAATATTATGTTTACAGATGAGTCACACTTCATTCTACAGCTATATGCAGATAACAGATGTTTACTCAGATGGTGAAAATCTGGAACCAGATCATACCACACTTTCATGGCACCGATAGGAATATGGTTTGGAGAGGACCATTATCTAAATTCTGCAAAATGGTACCATTAATGTCACATCCTATAATACCTCGAACTACCTTATGTCAATGCAATTGTCTCTGACTTTAACCTTAGGGAAAATAATGCCAGCCTCCAATGCTAAATTGGTTGATACCTTTGTTCCTACTGAGTATGTATGGAAAGCTTTTGGGAGTCATTTCTCACCCTACTGACCGACTTCATTAACTAAAAATCTCTCAGAAACTGGTTTTTCACAGAAATCTGTGTAATTACATCAGAACCTTGTCGATATTACAGTTTTAAACATATTCCACATCAGAGTGAAATGTTATGAACCAAAAAGATTTAAATCTACCTCACCAAATGTTTATTAAAAAGACTAAGCTGAATGACCAATTACTTGCATTTTAGATCATGTGACAAATAACTGGATTCTTGATTTGCATAAAAATTAGCTGGGAAGATGGCAGCATGAATGAAATTACTTCACAGTAGTGGATTTGCTTTGTCTTAACTAGAATATAATAAACTCCAATTATCTCTTGTATTACTGACAAACTCAAAGCTGCTGTGTGAAAGTTAAGGTATATGTGTTGATCTTAGTTGACTAATAAATATTTACACTTTTGTAAGTAATTATTTCAATTGTTTGTCAAAAGTTATAATAAAATGTAACTGTAATAATATCTTAATTAGAGTAACAACAGCTGTTACTTAATAATTAAAGTAATCAGTAAAAAATAAACACAGACCTCAAAACATTATGCTTGAGGTAAATGGTTGATACACATAAGTAAATCTTTAAAGGGACTGTGTGAAGTAAATGATAATAAATGGTTTAATACACATCTAATGTAGTTAGGAGCTAAAATTTTTTATATGCTTTCTGATCGTGGTTATCAGTTTTATTACAATCTATTGTGCAATGCAGATGATACTTTTATTCATGAATAGTAATAATAAATATAAGAAAAACACAAAATATATAATCTTAACACTTAATTTGTTGCAATTAATTGTTCAACAGAGGCTTAGGAATAATATACTTGCTTGTTTAATAGCTCTAAATAGTAAAAAGACCATTTGTAAGAATAACAATTTACTTCAAACTGTTTGCTAATTTATTTTACAATGTATAATTTAAGTAACGATGCAGATTTTAACAGGGGGGTGTATAAAGGTAGATTAATATTTTCATAATCTTGATGCAACAATAGAAATTTTTATTCAACTGATCAATATTTCATTTTTTAAGGGGTCGAGTATTCTTAATTAATTGACTGTCAGTTATTCTGTAGATACAAGCACCTGAAGATGATTGCTGAAACTGCAACAGAAAGCTTGTGGACAATAAAACTTCATGTATTTTAATATACATGTAGACATTAGTAAGTTTATACGAAGAAAGAGCTAATTCATAAATAAAAAACAAGAATTAAAAAAACAGATGAGAAAGAGGATAGGGTGAATTAAGTAATAGTAATTAGAAAACTACATGAAATGATTGAATGAAACATTATCACCATACCTGTAAACATATTTAAAATGTCTAACATAAGAATTACAGATCTTTCATTCTTCATATGAAGTACAACCCGACAGATAATTTTGATTTAAGTATTATCAATTTGAACCTAAGGTCATTGTCCACCAATATAAAAATACATATCAGAAAACAAAAAGAAATAAAAAAACTGAAAAGGCAAAAAAACGAAAGTCTGTGAAAGTTATGTAACTATGTAGAGAAAAATGTCTTGTAAAAATTAGCATTTCCTCACTTTTCTACAAACACTAGGCACAGCTCCACTGCAGATTAATCATATAACAGTTCATAAAATGTTTAGTTTTTTTTAACCATTCTAACTATATATATTATCATTAAGTATGTAACATTTATGTACCCACTTTTAGTTTTAACTATTGTTCAGGTTTCATGATTTTTGAAAAGTTATTATAAAATTTACATGTTTGTAAGCATCAATACTTGATCACAGAAATACTTACAGCAGAAAGCATAAGGAAGGACTCATGGTTGATTATATCGAGGGCATGGCGATCAATGAAACTGCAGCATACATCGGCAAGAGACACTAAGTGGTACAAACTGGCCATGTCATAGATCATGCAGACGTTTTTAATATTCAGGATTGCTTTCAGGTATTCTGAGATTGAATGTTCTAGTTCTTCAAATCCATACTTGTGTGCTAGTCCTAATATGTCTAGAATCAACTCTTCCTGAAATATTAATAATATTTAAAAGTAGCGTAACTGAAGTTCTCTGGAAATTTTCAATAGCTTATATCATTTGAGGAATATGAATTCCTAAAGTTGTTTCCTATTTACTCACTCCTGCTGCAACATACTAGTGTATTAGCATATGCATGTCATTTTTATAAAATGCTATTAACTTTCCACAGCTGAAAGGTACACTGTGTGGAGAGTTACTTCTAAAACTGATAAAAAAAATTAAAATGAATGAAATAGTGAAGTATTATGAATAAGTATAATAAAGCTAAAAACACTATGGAAATGAAACAACAAATTGTACATTTTTAAACAAATGATCTGTAAAGTTATCTTTAATTCTTCTCTATTCTGGCAAACGTACTGATTACTTTTGAAATACTATTGCAGCAGACAAGTTATATAACTTGCAATTAAAAGACTGCATAGAAACAAATAAATTTTTAGTTACAATGACCATCTTTTTATTTCAATTCTGCCTGTGGTACCATTTGTATCTTATTTCACCAAAAATATTTAAAAACTGAAAATAAAGCATTTTTCTACTTTTGATTAAATTCATATCTTATATAAAAAACATTCTGAAAGTCAGTTAACAAACTAAGCCTAATCTTCATAAAAACAAAAAATAACACACACACACATATACACAGTATAAATTTTCATAAACATCTTTATATTTTAAGAAATGATACCAGTCTGAGCTCAGTTTTAGGTTTGTAAATTCAGTTATGTTTTCAACTGATATCCTTGAAAAAAAAGCATGTTTTTTTATCATGTGATGTACTATTAATAAATACAAAAAAAGTAAAATGAAAGATGTTAAATGGCCTCAAATAAGTATCTATGTTCTTAAACCAAAAGCAGTATTTTAACAGATTCTTTAATATCAAAAGCAAGACAAAATTATATATTAGATAACTATTTCATTAGAAAATTCTCCAATTTTCATAGTAATGAGTTTGTTAAGTAGGTACACGAGTTTTATAACTTGTCCTTCATATGTCAAAAGGTAAAAATCAAAATAGCAAAGAAACATAGTTTTGACAGTTTAACAAGGCATGGAAAGTGAACCGAACAGGAATTATCTACAAGATTAGTAAAAATTGTTAATAGGGATTACCCAAAAAGTACAGAAACAATTTGAATCAAAATGTACATTATATTTTCAATCCAACAACTAGGGACTCTAAAAAAAAGGAAGCAAACAAGACTGGAAATAGAGTATAAATTATTTTCTCAAGCTATAAATCCCTATTTTGATTCCACTAAAATTGTAGACATGGAGTCAAAATAGGGATTTGTAGCTTGAGAAAATATTGTAGACACTATTTCCAGCCTTGTTTGTTTACTTTTTTTTAAAGAGTCCCTAGTTGTAGATTTGAAAATATAATTTGTCCATTTTGATTCAAATTGTTTCAATTCTTTTCTGGTGATCCCTATTTTCCCCTTTTAAATAAAAATTTATAATTATCTTGTTTCTTAAGTTTTTGTATGTCCTTTTATGTAGAATAACTTTTAAGCTACATACAAGCATATGTGTTCAATTGAATGTTACATGTTTTTCAACAGTTTACTGCTGTATTGGCTTTTTTCCACCCAACCACCACACTGAAATTATTCAAAATACATAACAAATGTACAAAACATAATAAACACGTGTACTGGTATGCAACTACAAGAAACAAGACATAAAGTTGTTCTCAAAGGACCATCTTGAAGGTAACGATTGTATCATCACAGATTTAATGACCGACTTCCATCAATGACACAGTGTAATGTAAAAAAAGATGAACATCAAAAAAGCAATCTCATCAAAATGGAATAATGTTTCTTCTAAGATAATACAACACAGATTAATGCAATGTAAACAGATGCAGAAACTTGTTTACCTTGTAAGATCTATATGACACATATGCATGTTCTTCAACAGCCTGCTGTGTAAGTTTGTTATGACAAGGCAACACAAATAATCCAAGCAAAATAGACAACAGTGATACACTTACCACATATATCACTCATTTAGTTACACCACCATTCCCAGTTTACCCCTGAAGAAGAAGGGTCCACCTTTTTGAAAGTACTCGAGTTACAGGGTTTTTAACATTTTGTATTAAGACTTCTTGAGCCTATGTGTTTTTCTGACATTATGAATATTCCAAAGCATTTAAATCTTTGAGAGACAGCAGCCTCCTCCAGGTGCTGAAAATGCAAGAAATCTGACAAGATGGTGGAAAGACCTTAAGAGATGGAAAAAAAAGAGAGGTTGAGAGTGAAAAGCCTGTGAGGAAACACCTATGTGACCCATTGGTCTGTTGCAAAGAAGTCCACAAGTGTGGAAAGTGAGAAAGCAGACGGGTATCTCAAGAAACAAGTCACCTCTGAGATAAATGAAGGCCATCTCTCCAAAAAGGTGGAACATTGGAAAGTTAGCACTTTCCTACACTGAAATGTATTTCTGATAGATATTAAATTCTTCTCACAAAATAGCTCTTCTCAATTAGCACTGCCCTCTACCAGTGCAAATTTTCAATGCATGCCACTAGCCTTCACCTCCCATTTCTGTATATCCACATACAAATGATCATGCACTCCTATAGTAACCAGTGCCCTCTTCACATCTGCATTTGTTAATCACTTTTAGATCGGTCAGAAGACTTACACCATATATTATTGGAAGTAGGGAGGCTGGGTGGGAATTGTGAAAGGAGGTAAGTATCTATCTAAAATACATTTTAGTGTAGGAAAATGCTAACTTCTAATACAGAATTTTACCTTCTCCAGCAGATGGTAGGAAGGTGGAAAGCCTAGGTGGGATGATGTCTCCAGTGCAAAACCTGACCACAATGGGTATGGTAATTCCAGTCTACAGAAAGAGAAGGACATCTGGCTGTACACAAGTGGGAAAATATGTTCTGCATTAGCTACAACCAATACCAGATCTGCTAGGAACCAACATCCAGCAGATGGAAGGAAGAGGGACTGCAAACCTGAGGTGCATCTCCAGTCCATACCTGGTGGCAGTGGGCATTTGTCATCCAGTCTGCAGCAGAAGGAGGGATACTGGGCCAGCACACATGTGAGAACTTACTTAGCTGGATCATCTCCAACCAACACCAGACTCACCAGGAATGTACATCCAGAGAATGGTAGGGAGGAGGAGCATCTCAGTCTTAGGGGCAAATTGAAATAATACATATATATGTATATTCATGACATGGCGGAGTGCTTTAGCCAAAACCTGGCAACATCTGGAAATGTACATCAGGTCTGTGGTAGGAAGGGCATCATGCCATCTACACATGAAAGCAATCGTGATCAGGCCACCTCCAATCAAAACCTGACCTACTGAGAATGTACATCCAGAGGATGGCAGGAAGGAGGAAGGCCATGTTAAGAAAAAAAACAATCAGTCAGATATATAGACAAGAATACAGCATAGAGCTACAACCAAAACCTGGCTGCATCTGGAATTGTACATCAGGTCCGTGGTAGGAAGTGTGATATGGCAGCAACACCTGCAGAGTACCACTGCCCTACTCTCAGCTGAGTGTTATGATTCATCCCTAAGGAGGACAGGCCTCCACGGTCCACCACCCAAGAAGCTATAAACTGGTAAGTGATAAAGACTTCCACTCTCCACTAGAAGGAAGGGGGGGGGGGAAATACATTGCAGAGTGGAGAGTACAGCATCACTGCAGACAAGGCAACAGGTGGTCGCAATACTCTATTTTCAAAAGCAGAGCTGCCACACCAATGGAGCCAATCAAACAAAACCTGGCAATATCTGGAATTGTACATCAGGTCCACAGTAGGAAGAGTCTCAATGCCACAGAGCATTAAAGGTGGGCAGCAATCTCTGTCTGCTTTACTCATATTAGTGCCTGAGTGCACAGTCATATTTATGAAGCAAACAACCACTACATAAGGGCCACGAAAAAAACTAAGTCAGTAGTATAACGGAAAATGTTGACAAATCTGCAAGCAAAAACCAGCACATCCATACAGTACAACTGCCAATTGAGAAGTGATTACCAAGTATAGATGTGAAGAGGGTAGTTACAATAGGAAAGGTGTCATGCTCCTATTGGTGGAGAGCTGCTGCATGACCATTTGCATGTGGATATGCAGAAATGGGAAGTGGAAGACTAGTGGCATGTATTGAAAATTTGCACAGATAGAAGCCAGCATTAGTCAAGAAAAGCTATTTTGTGAGAAGAGGTAAGATATTGTATCAGAAGTAGTGAGACTAAGAGGAACAGGAGTATGGCCAACATTACAAAGCTCCCAAGGACAAGAAATGCACTGGGATCCCCTTGACTGAAATAAATGGGAAACTAAATCAAGCAGAGATGACTGCTGATGAGCGGTTTCAGCTCAAGTTTCCAATATATATAGGGAATTCCCTCAAAAACTTCATTTCAAAGAAAGGGGTGCCATATGGAATTCTCTGAGATAAGACTAAAGAAATTGAGCTCCAGAAAGTAAGGCACTGAAACTAAGCAAGTCCCTGAAACAAAAAAGGAAAGTTATTATGGATACTGCAACAGAAGAAACTGAGGCCATGGTGGAGGATAGGTAGTCGTGAGTTCCACAGTGAAGCTCTCAGGGTTGTGGTGTAGAACCTTGGAAAGAAGGTGAAACAAATATAGACAGCAAAGGTGCTGAGCAAGTGAAAGACAAAGATGAGCAGATTAAGAGCAGGATAGAGTCAAAATGGAAAAGATATTCTCAAGTATGAAGAAGAGACTTGAGGAACTAAAGATTAAGAAAAGAATTTTGAACATATACCATGAAATAAGGCTCTCTAAGTCTGGGGGTATGTGGCAAATGGAGGTGAGACAAAAAGGAGTGTGCATGAACATAAATATCAGGGGGAAAGAAAAGAAAACATAACAAGTTGAATAGGTAAGTGACACTTAAAGTAATTTGTTTGTTTGTTTTGAATTTCATGCAAAGCTACATGAGGGCTATCTGCACTAGCCATCCCTAATTTAGCAGTGTAAGACTAGAGGGAAGGCAGCTAGTCATCACCACTTACTCTTGGGCTACTCTTTTACCAACGAATAGTGGGATTGACCGTCACACTATAACACCCTTATGGCTGAAAGGGTGAGCATGTTTAGTGGGACGGGGAATCGAACCCACAACCTGCAGATTGTGAGTTGAGCTCCCTAACCACCTGGCCATCCCAGGCCAGTTAAAGTAATAAGTGCAATGCAAAATCCAGTAATTCTGAATAAAAAGATCATGAACAACCTAAATGTCATGTTAGTATAGCCTATATAATGTGTCAAGTTTAGAATACTCTAATTCCTTATAGTGATGGCACATGATGAGACACACATTCGGCATGTAATGCTGTTTGAATACATGAAGGGAAACAATGTCTCTGTAGCCACAAAGAATATCAAAGCCTTTTTAGTCTTAAAAACTGTGACGACAGGGACCGACATGTTGGAATATAAAACCTGGACTCCATCCTCAGAAAGTGATGCCTTGCATTTGGTGAGACATCAAAAGAGTAATTAATTTCGAACTCCTCAATCTACAGCAAACTGTCAATGCAGAGATCTATAGTCAGCAACCGGAACGTTTAAATCAAGCCCTTCATCAGAAACACCCTTCACTTGTCAATCGGAAAGGTCTTCTTCTTCTCCACAACAATGCATGTCCACATGTGGCACATTTGACGCAACACAAGATTATGGAGTTGGGTTGGGAAATTCTCTCCCACCAACCATATTCTCCAGATATAGCACCATCAGATTACCATCTTTTTTGTTTGCTGCAACACCATCTTAATGGGAAAATGTATGCAAATGTGGAAGGTATTAAAGAGGACATCAAAATGTTTTTTTGCTTCAAAGCCAAGTGATTTCTTGAATCAGGGCATTAACAATCTGATTGTAAGATGGAAAAGCATCAGCAATAAGAATGGAGACTATTTCATTTATTAAATGTTCTGATATATAAGTTGTTTGGGTTTTTTGAGCAACATTAATTTCTTGATGACCTAATACATACTTAATTATTATAAGTCTTGTGATTAAAAGTTACTCTCTGAATCCTAAACATTTATATGCATTTTAAGAAAATATTTGTAATAAACAGAGTCCTTTACTTTTTGATTTACTTTCAAAAACACACAGCATAATATGCAAACTCAGCATTTATTTGTCAATGATAATTAAAAGTCAGGTGGCATCTTTGATGCAAATAAATGTTAAAGTGATGCCATAAGTAAAAACAATAAAATAATAGTTTTATATGTAACAATAACATATTTGTTTCATTTTACTCCACATTATTTTTCATGTGTTGCTATGTTAAACCAATAACTTTTCTAAATTAGAAAAGCTAAGTTTCATTTAAGGCTATCCAAACTGTGCTTAATAATCAACCTGATTTTTAGTATCTAAACTCTACAATTGTTTCTGAATAACTGTGTATTTCAGGAAAATTTGTTGACTCTTGAAGTTTACCTTTCTGTTTCCTAGGATCAAATGTCCAGTATAGACATACTTCAACAAAGCTTTGAAAGCCGTTAAAGATGTTCCTTTTAATTCTATTTCAGTCTGTTGTGACTCCCTCATGCCTCCAAAGAGCAAGGCTCTAGACAAAACAATAACTGAATGTAATGGAAGAAGAAATACACAGATAAGAGCCAATATATAGTATTTTTGAAACTTTCAATTCACACTCAACCATATCCTAATCTATAAAAAGTTCAGACTTAAGTTCTGATGTTATTTTAATTGTATGCTGATTACTTTTGATATCAGAAGAAAAATTAAATCTAAAAATTTATTATTCTTAACTTTATTTAAAACAAACTGGAGCTTCAACTGGATTAATGAATTTGTAAGATATCGATTGCCCCTGATGAAGCTGTAATGGCAAAATATTGAGCTAACAGTTACATTCTGAAGATATAGATTTACTTGAATAAACATAAAATATCAACTCCTAACATGCTTTTTCTTCAACATCTTACACTGACACTATCATTATAGTGAAATTGGGCATGCAAAAATATTATATATTTACTATAGTTGAAAACACTTTTGAACATAATTTCTTTGGAATCACAAAGATTAAGTTTATAAAAATGAAAAATAAAATATGCTTTGAACCTAGATGTAATGCCCATATTCCTTGCAACTACCTTACAAGTCTGTGCAATGGTACATGTACAAAAATCTGTATTGAATATTGAATACAAGTCTAAAGAGGTCATAATTTCATTGTACAGGTCACTGGTTAGGCCACATTTGGAATATTGTGTTCAGTCTTGGGGCTCCTTACCTTAGGAAAGACATTGAATTAGTGGAAAGGGTTCAGAGAAGGGATGGGGATGGAGGGGTTGTCATATGAGGAGAGGTTGAAATCTCTGAACTTGTTTTCTCTTGAAAAAAGAAGAGTTGGGGGATCTGACTGAGGTGTTTAAGATTGTAAAGGGAATTGACAGTGTTGATGCATCAGCTTTTTCATATTTAACAGTGAGAATAATAGAACTAGGGGACACAAATATAAATTTTGGCAAGGTAGGAGTCATCATCAGCTAAGATAGTTTAATTTTTCTAACAGGGTGGTTGGCCTTTCGATTCGGTTGCCTTTGGATGTTGTAGAGGCAGTAAATTTAAGTGAGTTTAAGAAAAAGCTTGATAAGTACATGAATGATAAGGGCTAGCTTTAAGATTTTTTAAAAAATTATTTTAATTTAGTTTAGAGGATGGAACAGCCGAGATTGACCAATAGGTCCCATGTTGTCTCAAAACGTTATGTTAGATGTAACTGATTACCTATGAGCATAAATTAAATCAATTAGTGTCATGTAAAATAACTAATTATCAAAACTAATGGTTAACGTCATGAAAATAATAAACTAATCAAAATCAATGTTTCTGATTATTTCAACTATTGTTCAGCTTAATCATTAGTGCCATCACCCACAAAAAAGTTATGTAACAGAAATTAGGGTTTCCAATTATCACTGTTATTAATTACTTCAAGTTTGTACAGCTTTAGGCAGACATGGCCAGGTGATCAGAGGGGTTGCCTCATGATTCAAGTCTTGAGTTTAATTTTTGTTGCTACACACATGCTGGCTGTTTCAGTGATAAGGAGCATTACATTAGTTTTATTTTTGACTTATAGTGAATAAACTTAGTATTCTGATAATTGCTTAATTTCGAAGTCTAAGTTCAATGGAAGTCCAGTTCAATCTACACTTTGATCAACATGTATTATTGGGTTATACTAGTTTCAGAGAATTCCAATCTTCATCAGTAACCCTGAACACAAGTTAACAAAGGAGAGATAAGCTGGACCTATATCGTAGTGAAAAGTATCAAACATACTGTTGGTGTGAACATGCTTTTTATTCACAATGAGGAAAACCTATACACTAGATAGGTTTTTCTCATAGTGAATACAAAGCACATTCACGCCAACAGTATGTTTGAAAGCTAATTAGGTTAACTGCTACTGTGCCTTACTTTGAAGGTGAGGTAACCCACTGGCAACATCCATTGGTAACTCTTGGGCTACTTTCATGTTAAATAAAGTGCAAACTTACAATTTCTTTTTTACACTGTGTTATGTTTCTAAGGAATAATTGCTTAGCTGTACCTTTAATGTTAAATAATGTGCAAGATTACTGTTTTTTTACAATGTGTTACACTGTAATTTATAACTTCCATAATTTTCTTCTTTAGTGTTATATAACGTATAAATTTACTTTCCAGACTTTGTGCTGTAATGTAAGTTGTGACAGACACTGGCATGTCTATAACCCACAACTCTCTGATCAGAGGGTAAATGCTTACAATGCAGTATTCATTATCCACTCAGTCATGCCAGCCTTTTAACCATGTAAGAGGAATTAAGTTATCATTACTTCTTCATTTAGACGCACGCACCTATTGGCACACATTCAACGCATGGCAAATATTATCATATCATTATACACATGTAACTTCTATTAATAATACCTTACAAGTTTCCTACTTATTTTTTGTGCAATCATCTAATCTAAGATTGAACTATAGTGTAATATGTAATTCAACAGTCACATACTTTGTACAAGGTGGTTATTCTTGTTTGATTTGTTACAAACATTTTATATTAATAATTGTAAATACATGATACTGATATATGCTAATCAGCAGTATATAAATATTTAACTGTCAAGTTAAGAGAGAAGTTCCGAGTTAATAGTTTTTTGTTACTATCAAATATGCAGGCATTATCATGTAGGTTCTAATATACAAGGGCCTGACTGGACTTGCTGCTCAGCATGTGAGTATCACTTGTCCAGTGCTTATGAAATGTGTGATGTAAGTCATCTTTATATGTTAATAAACAGATCCATGAATTACTTCATGTGTTGTTATTGATCTAGCCAAGGCTACTATCAGTGACCTAGCCCTTCATGGTATGGAACAAGGTCATCACACACGTGATAAGTTACAAATGTAAATGTACTTATTGATTTTCAATGAACAATAACAAAAATCCAAAATCCAATATTTGCAAGTATCATTTACTTTATTAAGATAACAAAAAAGTGTAACACATACATGTTCTTCCACATTATATTTTATATTGTAAAGAATAATATTACAAAAACATATTCCATGATTGATTATGTAAAAATAGGCTATAGCTGCAATACAGCCTTCATGAAACTATACGAAGCCAAAAAGTTATAATTTTAATGAATTTTTCTAACTTTTCAGTTGAAAACTTTTATAATACACATTATGATCCACATGAATTATTCAAGTGTAGATCATGTTAGCTTTAGAAAGTTAAGATAACTATAATAAATAAACACATTGATAATTATACATAAATATATACTGAATGTACAAGATTTTAAATACACAATATCTACTGTATAATAATTTATACTTATATGTTCAATGCCTATTTAATACATACATATAGTGATACAAATAACTTTTTCTAAATATTTCCTTCTTCCTTTAGGACTTTGTAAATTCGCAAGCTCTTCAGCTCTTGTTTCGTATATTTATAAATATATAATTTACATAATAAATTTAATTTAAGATATATTAAAAATAGTTGTATTTTTATTCTATCATTATTATTATGCTAATTTTTTCTAATAAGCCTTAGTGAATAGTTTATTGTTTTTTTTTGTATAAATTTCATGATTTTTAATTTCCTAAGACAAAATTTGAAACTTATATTTCTTACAGCATTCTTGTTTCAGAGTATTGACGGAAATTATACCAGCATCCCTTTTGACTAACAGTTTCTCAAAGTATCAGTTTCTAGCAATGCTATCTAACTGTATAGATACTACTACTACTGAATGCAGGGATAGAAATAATGAAATAAAATTACATTCACTCGAGGGAAAGCAATCAGGAAAATTACATTCCCTCATGTAATGTTGCATTTCCCCATGAATTGTTTTTGTTTTTCTATTTAATCCATGCAATACATTCACTTTCATTGGTCATAACTAAAGGAATGCATTCTCAATCAGGAAAGCCAACTCAAAAGATTAAATTCTTTGGGAATGCAGGAACATAACATTTCGATCCCTGGATATAGTAGCACATAGCTTACTATGTTTGACAACATGTCTTGCACTTGGTGCCGTGCAGATGTTAATAGGCCTTTCAAAACTATATTTTCACATGTTATGATCAAGGAGTATATTGTATTATCTTATTCGCTAAAAAATCTTTGGAAACAATAAAATACCTTTATTGGAAGTACTTGTAATTATCATGCTACTCTGTGGAAGATCTTAACAATACTGTATTTAAACACAAATGTTTAAAATGTACATAGTGTTGTGCAGATAGTGCAATACCACAAAAGAACATGATGTTTATAGAAAGTTTGGGTTTATTTCAAAGATAGTAACATCAAAATTTGTTTTCTATAGAAATTTTGCTTGGAAAATTGGGGGTTATTACATTTTACAGATAATATTAATTAATAATAAGCATATGCTTGTACATACATTTATATAACCCCCAAAAAAAGAGTAGTGTATTTCACAACAACTTGAGTTTAGAAGTTCAACAATGCCTACATATTACTGTGAAATATAAAAATGAACACATTTGTACTATTAACTTAGTTTAATTAATTGGAAAATTATTATATATTTTAACAACTAAACTTTTTGGTAATCTGTATTAAAAACATAACTGACATATATAATGTATGTTATACGTTAATGAACAAAGGAACTATCAAGAACTATTAAGATGTGGATTTGGCATGGTACGTATAAATCGGCTATAATTACTAATTCCCTAGTGTATTTTAATTGAAATTCTAATCAGACAAGCGTGTATGAGAAACAAGGACTTCAGCCTATAACTCATAGGCCTTAAAGAAAACAAACATGCTATAAGGGGAAAAACAGCAATATACATTTCCAATCCCATCTAGAGAGCACTTATTGTAATATATGATAACATGCAAATACATCTGGGCATATAATTAAGAATATGGCTAGAATGGTTTGCCCAATTTAACTTGGGTAAATATTTTTTTAAACAAGGAGGGTGTCTAAGTTATCTCATGCAAATAATGGAAGGGATTAACTAAAATTCTGTTTCAATGATTTTAACTCATAAATATTTTAGGATCAATATTTTGTCACTTTTAAACAATGATTTAGTGTGATTCATAAGAAAATAAAAAATTTTAAAAGAAGAAAAACAACAACAACAAAAACACTTATATTTTAAATCGCCTTGCTTTTGTTTTGGCATAAAACTTTTACATTAAAGGAAACTTTACACAAAAAAATTTGTAACACTTATGAATAACAATTAGTAATTTCATATAAAGTTCAAACACAATTTAAGCCCAAAAGAAAAACACAAATAATTTTTATGTTCAATAAAAATGATCCAAACAAAGCTATTCATTTCAAGCAACCATTACAGTTGTACAATACATTCTCTTAGAATCAAATTAAAATACAGTATGGGTAAAAGAAACATGAAAAAAAATTACAAAATTAAAAGTATATGACACTGAAATATTCAGTTTCAATTGAAGTAAAACTTTACAAAAAAGTGAAATACAGCCAAAAGAAAAGAAAAAAATAAAATAAATAAAAGATTATGAATGCATTTTAAAATGACAAATGTAAAGCATCTGAAACAACAGAACAAAATGTTAGTGTAACAGAACTCATTACAAAATCAAAATATTATCTAACCTGAAATATTCACTTCTAGCTGCTAGTATTACTTTGTGTCCTGGTAGACGTATTCCTTCTACAATTAAAGACACATCACTATACTCGTCATTTATGTAAAGGGAACCAATGTGGACTGACAATGAAGCTGTATGATCAACTTCTCCAACTGGAGGTAGGTCACCAAGATGATTGTCACTCATCTTCTGGTTAACTTTTCACAATATAACTCAATGACATGCCTGAAATAACACGATTTTTTGTTTTTTAAATCAATCCTTGTTAATACAGGAATTACTAAGAATACAAGTATATGTATAATGTACACAAAAAAAACACACATTAGGTACAGGAGTTATAATTTTCCCATACTGTAAATATATTTCCAACAGGTACTTACATCTTCTCACATATATAGATATTCTAGCTCAATGTTGCCCTCTATTTGCAAACTTTTCCTTTGCATGCCACAAGCTTTTCACTCCCATGTACTCCTCGATTCACATGGTTTAACTGACTCTCACATGCAAATTATCATGCCACAAACCTCCACCAATAAACATTCCCCCCACCCATGCAAGTCATGTGACTCCCTATATGTTATTCTACCTATCTCTTCAAGTTTAGGCAGAAATCTAAGCACCAGTTTACAGTGGAGTTTACGGGTGGGATGTATGAATGGAAGTTAGTACCTGTCAGAAATATATTTTCAGTATAGGAAAATTAACTTCCAACAAGATATCTTG